TGCTCTAATAAATTTGTTAGTCTCTAAGGTGCCACAAGTACTCCTGTTCTTCTTTTTGTGGATACAGACTAACACCGGTGGTCATCTCTAAACCATCTCCCACTGAAATCAATGTTGCACCAATGCCCTTCTAGGTGCATTTCAAAAGCCCACTAGGGACCTATCTGCATCACTAGGTACTTAAGTACCTTTCAAAATCTGGCCCTTAAACTTCATTTATTTCAATGAAACTTGTGCTCATAAGTCTTTTGGGCCAAATTTTTAGATATATTTAGGCACCTATTGATGTGGATAGGCACCTGGTGGAATTTTCAAAAGTGCATTGGCACCTAACTCCCATTGAAATTGATAGAATTTATATGCTAGGTTTTTGTTTTTTTTTAAAAATCTGTCTAGGCCTATTTGTATCACTAGGTGCCTAAACACCTTTAAAAATCTAGCCCTTAGGAATTTATGATAATTTCACCTGTATGCACCTAAATATGGATTTAGGAGCCTAAGTTTATGCTCCTATTTTTGAAAAATTCGTCCAGTATCAGGAAAAACCTCCTGAGAGTGAGATCAATAAGACAGTGGAATAGTTTCCCAGCTGAAGTTATGGAAGCACCATTCCGGAGGATATTTAAAATTATATTGGGCAAAGCACTGTTTTGTAAGGAACAAACCTTCATCGTTAGGGGAATGGACTAACTCCAGAATTTAGAGATGGAAAAGATTGATGAGAGTGGGATAGGAAGATGTCATGGCCAACATCTCTCTTGAATGTTTACATTTGATATCCTCAATATTCTATGTCTCAGTTAGCTGGATATTATATTCTTTGTCCTTACAAGTTAGCAAAAGTGTCAGGGTCCAGTCAAGGGACTGACAGCCTCCTTGAGGTCAATGGAAGTCAAGGACACTCATCATCTTTTAAGAGGCACTCAGTACCTTGCAAGACTGAACCCTAGGTTAATTAAGGAGAGCAATGGTCATACCACTAAAACAGATTATTGCCAATGTCAAATAGTACATCATTTCTAATTTGGCACGTAGGGGATACACTGCGAAGGTTTGGGTAAACCCAGACTTAGAGGTAGCCCACAACTCATAATATTTTTTTACTTCTCACCTTTCTGAAGAAGATGTCTATTTCTCTTTCAGAGCTGTAATGTAATTCCCAGAAACAAAAATGCAGTAGGCAATAGTGCCAGTGATGTTGATTTGGCAGCCTGGTGAGTACATGGGTATAAGGGAAAAGGTTGCAGCAGCAAGTATTTTAATATCCACACATCTTTATATACTATTGTATTTCACAGGCTATACTGCACATTGAACTTCTGATGTCTTATTATCATGACAAGACAAAAATTGAAAATAGCACAGAACTGCAGGTAATCCATTTTCATGACAAGTTTGCAATGTGAATGAGGAATAGCAAACATAAGCCATTCTCATTACTGTCCCAAGTCTGTAATCTCGTTGTCCTCCATAGATGTCATACCTGGGGCAATCAGCTCAGTTATTTTTTTAAAAGGATCATATTTCATATTTCTAGATGCTCTTGAGCAGTCCAGTTATCAGTTCCAGCTACTTCAAAAATGAATGTAAATTATTCTTGTCCAGACTGTTCAAGAAATGCTTGTCAACAGTGAATAATAGTTATGAATATTTATGAAACATCTAAATACATCAGAAAAATTAAAGCTATTCTGTAAAAGTTAGATTATTCAGATCACATTTTGATGGACATGCAAATAAGTATATACTGATGCTGTTATAAAGCATGTTTTTTTATGAATTGCAGAATATACATATAAGCCATAATTAGAACTCTTGGGAGCTTTAATACCTAAATCTAATTTGCTGACATGCCAACCATAAGGTCAAATGAGTCTTTAAAAAAATCCTAATGTAACTTGAGATCAGAGACTTGAATTTCTTTTTAAATTTAATACAATTACATATTAATGTATGTATTCAATGAGACTTTGAGAAAGAAACCTATCACTTTTTTAAAATGACAAAGGTGGCTGCAAACACAGGTAAAACCATTGGCTGATGAAGGGTTTCTTATAAATTAATAGATATTTTAAATGTGGTCTTGGAGTTATCTTTGTCAAAACCCTAAAGAAAAATCAATTTCAGGATTAGAGAGAGAAACCTATAAATTGCTAGCTAGGCCCTGCTTCCGATCACTCTTCTGCACTGACAGTTATGAAGTAAATAATTCTCAAGGACATTTCTCATGCAGCTCTATTCAGTTAAAAAAAAATACTCATTTCCTTCTCCTTGTGGTTGCTGTTTATACAGGTTTGTGTATTGTTTCTGTTGATAGTGATAACAACTATGGCTATTGAGTATGTAGATGCCTATGGCTATACTGTACAGTGGCCACTTTTTGTCAGAGTTGCTTTTTCTTCTGATTGTGGGATCTTTTACTTCAGAAAACAAAACTTCGCAATGTAATTTTCCTTTATTTCCTGTGTGTTTTGCCTAACAAGTCTCTAGGTAAAGTCTGGAAAAGTCTCTTTAGGAAAACATTAAGGAATCTAGGTCAAAAGTCTTTAAAAAAAAAAACACCATATGGAATTTTCCACAGACAATACCACAGAGGGTTGTAGTTCAATTTAGCAGCTGAAAAGGGAGCTCTGAGGTAAAGCATAGAATGCAATTACACAGAAATACTGCACGTTAACATTCCAATTGCACAACCAATAATTATGCTGAGAAATGCTGAGCTGGCTAAAGTCTAAAAAGCTGGCAATAATAAAACTGTAAGATTTAGGATTAACAATAGTTCCAGATAGTGATAGTGAATAAAAATAATGGACCCTTATGTTCTGTTGTTGGGTTATTCACAGTAGAGGATGTTCTTGATAACACATGGAATCAATGGCGTTTACCATTAATTAATTCATCTGGAATATACCGTGTAAGTATCTGACATTCAGGATTCATTCACAGCCCTTTTGAATTTGGCAATTGTGACCAGTTTAGAACCTTAGTTTCTTTTTAGCAATTTATTTGTTTTACAAGAGTGCCCGCAGGGTCCAGCCAAGATCAAGTTCCCATTGTGTAGGTACTGTACAAACACACAGTAAGAGAGAATCCCTGTCTCAAAGACCTTATAATTTAAATAGCCAAGACAGACAATGGATGGAAGGAAGGAAGGTTGTACTACCCCATTTTACAGGTGGGCAACTGAAGCCCAGAGAGATTAGGTGACTTACCTAACACCACATAAGAAACCTGTGGCAGAGGGGGAGGCTGAAATGTGGAGACTAGCTCAGAGTTTTGAGCAGCCAGCAAAGCACCCCACAGAGAACACAAACAGCTTGGCAAATTCTGTACGGGATGTCTATTGTTCATATTTTAAGTTTCATGGCTGAACATGTTAGCCTGTTGGGATAAAGACATTGTGAGCACTGTGGTCTTCCCCATGTAGTCTTGCAAAACCCATGCATTATTTCATCTTTATTTAAAGAATTTTCTGTGTTGTACTGTGAATGGTTTTTATTATGAAAAAACCACAATAAAAAGTCAGTGATAATGTTTTAATGAAACCAATGAAAAATAATTATCTTTGTAACTGGAAATACATTTAACTAACCAATTGTGATGGATAAGACTGAGGAGGTCACACCCCTTCTCCCCTGTGGGCATGCTCCAGATGGAATCACAGTATAAAAGGGAGCACCTCACCTCAGTCTGCCCTGACTGGAGGGGAGAGAGAACATATGTTGCAGGCTACTGTCTGGGAGCTGTCGGAGCCCTAGACCACAAAGACCAGGCACGCTGAGACCCAGGTGAATACCCGGCTGTCCGTGGAAACCCATGAGGGGAAGGAGTCATCAGGAACTTTGCCTTGCAACTACCCCAGAGAACTAGAGGACCTGTAGACTATGGAGCAGGAAGGCAAGGTAGGAAGTTGCCCAGGGGAACCAGACATTGATCCAGTTGTGGTATTGGGTACAGAGTCAGTGTGTTTCGGAGGGATCCCTGCTGACCCAGTGGTAGTTCACTCCCTTTTTGGCCACTAGGCCATGCTGTCCAGTGCCGAAGGGCTGGTCTGGTCTGAATCTGGCCACTGCCATACCAGCCAGTGCTGAAGGGTGGGTGTAGAGGTCTGGACACACCCCTGCAGTGCCTCCTGCTGGTTGTCCAGGGAATTAGCTCACCAGCCCCTGGAGTGCCCTCTGCAGGCCGGTGATCCACCTTATCTTCTTCCACTGGCCCCTGTGTCCCTCCCAGGACCCTGGTGCCCCTATTACTGGGATGCTGCCCCCTGGCAGTACCCCACAGATCTGGGTCTCCCCTCTCTGGGGAACCCCCACCCACTATCCCCACCTTGCCTCAGCATAAGGCCACTGCCAGTCACCAACTAGCCCCGGCTCCCTGGGGCAGACTACAGTATAGGCCACTCATCACTGGCAAGGGGGGTTTGGACGCTGCCTTGGCCTAGCCCCGGGCTGCCCTCTGCAACCCCCAGTACCCCCGGCCTAATATTAGGCTGCAGCCTGGGGCTTTCCAGGCTGGAGCTCCTCAGCCTTTTCCCAGCCCTGCTCCATTACAGGTACCATGTGTCTAGTTCCCTGCAGCCAGGCCCTTCTCTCTCTGCACTCAGAGAGAGACTCTGGCCTGAGCTCCTGGCTCCCTGCCTTTATAGGGCCTGCTGAGGCTGTTTGGGGCGTGGCCCCAGCTGCAGCCACTTCCCCCGATCAGGTCAGCCTTCACGCTGTCTACTCCCTGGGCCCTTCCAGGCAGAAGCAGGTGTCCACCCTGCTACAGTGGGCCTATTGACTCTGGCGGCTAGGCCATAATGCCCGGTGCTAAAGGGCCACCATACAGATGTAGGCCATTAAGCCTCACTACCCTGACTCTAAGGACAGCCCCGCTGACTCTTATAATTGTTCCATACTACCCTGAGCTAGAGGGGCTCCTCAAAGATGTAGGCCACTAGGCCGCACTGCCTTGAATCTAAGGACAGGCCCTCTGTCTTTGACCATTAGGTCATACCAGGCTGAGGAGAAGAGCAGTTATTTGGAGTCGGCTGAAGTGCCATAATGCCCCACGGGGGCGTTGGGGTATATCCAGTGCACAACACCAATCTATAAAATAACCAACTATATACAAAATTTTAATGAACGCAACCGTGTAAACAGAACTCAAAGTACAACAGTAAGAACATTTTAAATACACAATTTTGTGGGGAGAGAGTGGGGCATAAAGTTACAGGTGAGTTTACACCCTGCCTCTGCCTCTTCTTGTCCACATGGGTTCTGGGATAGAGTGTCCGTGGCTCAAAATTGTCAGGGGCACTGCAGAGCTCAAAAGAGCTGGACTCCCAAATGCAAGTATCCTCAGTGCCCAGAGGTTGGATCTGAGAGGTGAATGGGAGCCACTGATAGCACTGCTGGGTGATGTGGCAGTTAGGGGTTGTTGCTGGTTCCAGTAGCCAACATTGTTCAGGGGCTGAAAGACATCTGGGCCTCAAATTACAGGGCCTTCTGGCCTTGCAGGAGCATGTTTTGCAGGAGGGCATTCTGACTGAGGATGGCATCCATGAGCTGCCTCTGCATCTCTCTCCTTTTCTATGCGCTCCTTCACCATGATGATATTGTTCTTAGCCACTGCCATGCTTTCCCTGTCCATCTAAAATTTTGGATACAGACCAATAAAGGATCACTGTAATAAACAGACCATGCTGAAGCATTCTCTAGCCTCCCTAAAATTAATCACATTACAATATCACTCAATCAACTCACATTTTGCAAGCTTGGCTGACTTTTACTTTGCTACCCCTGTAGCTATAGATTCAAGGGCAAAGTGTTTCAATGGTTAAGGCCCTCATCCAAAGCAGATTGGAATGAATGGGAGACTTTCCATTGTCATCAGGGAGCTTCAGGAAGCCCCATGTTATAATTGTCCTGCCTACTATTTCAGTGTTTCATTTAACATCCTCACAACTTCTTGAATGAAGTGCAGTTCCTTACTTTAATGTGTAGAAATATATTTTCAAATTATGGAAATATATAGAAGCTGAGACACAACTTAGCAGTATAAAAAGTTTTGATGATCAAGAAGAAATAGTTTGTAGATGGAAATGCTATCCCGAAAACAGCGTGACAGCCTAATGAATTCCTTAAGAGTAATTCTGATGGATTCAATTTGATTAAAACCAGCATTGTGAAACTAGCCACATTGCTGAGATAATCACAGTGGTTGAAAGCTGCAGGCTTCCTGTTAAATTACTGTTAAATATTGTTACATAAAATATTTAGAAAAAGAATGCTGCTGTGCCACAGCATTGACCTGGGAATTCTTTGCAAAGCAAAGGTAAAATTCACCTCACTAACCCACAAATCTCCACCTCCGTACTCTTCATTTCTTTATTCCAGTATTTACATTAGCTGCATTATATTTACTGGACTTGGGTACAATTAGGTATTTTAAAAATGGGCAGGCTGATGTACTGTCTCGTTGAGCTGGTGTGTGCTGTCAGTATGTGGCTACAAATAGTACAAAGGCTCTTCAACTAAAGGAAAAACTGACAAAACTCCTAGCAAGACAATTGGGACACTTTTCCATTTCTCTCCTCCTCCCACTTTGCCATCAGCATAACCGCTTTTTACACGTGGTTTCAGGAGCATTGGAAAATTCTCCTAGCATAACTCCTGGCAATTGGATTCTCTGGTTGGTAGAATGGATAATTCTATTTGGATTGTGAACCCTCAAGAACTCAAGATTCTTGTGAGATGCTGTCAGAAGAATCTAAGGGAGATCTTGTTCTCAAAGAGAAAGTGGGGTGAATGCCTGACATAGTACCTGTGATAGGACTGATATGGAAATCTATACCTCTCAATGAAATATGGTCGGAGGAATAGTTCTCTAGGTGTATTTCAGAGATTCCTTGTAGCATTGCTCTAAGTTTGGTTTATGCTTTACAGCAAGGGTGGTGGAGGTGGGAAATAAACTTTCTGTAGTTCTTTTTTGTAAAAACTTATGGAAAAGAGAATTAGTGGGGGGCAAGTAGAACTTTGAAAAGTTACTATGGACCATAAAACAAAGCACCATCTTAGGCCCCAATCCTGCAAACACTTACATATATACTTAACTTGCCTACTGTGAACAGTCCCTTTACCCATGTAATCTGTAGGAGTAGAGAGTGTGTATTAAGAAGGAAGAATCTGGCCTTTAGTTAGTATTATTGCAAAGACATAATTGAAAAATGGCTATATCTTTAACACCGACATCTCTGGCTTTTGTTTGTTATTTTTATGGTCCAATCCCATCTCAAGGTTGCAGCAGCCCATGCATGACTTTCCTGGAAAACAGAAGAAAGGTCCCAGATTTGTAGTCCTATAGGCCAGCTATCTGAGGTGAGGGTCAGGTTAAGTATATTGTTTTAACAGCTTTAGTCAGAGAGAATTGTTTTATTAATAAACACAAAAATAGAAGCTTTTAGCAATTTAAAATGAGAATATTTCTGAAAAGCAATCCTTATTCAGGAAAAAAAGTACACTATCAGTTATACATGTCATATAACCTTAGGAAGGACACTGTCATCTCAGGCCTGGCAAAATATAGTTTATTATTCTTATTTGTTAGATGCCAACACTATGCTTTTGATAGAACAAACAAAAAGGAGACATGAAGAGCTTACAGTCTAAACACGCAGACAAGATCAATCAATCCCCAAATGCACTGGGATATCCACAAGAAAGATCTATCAAAGTATGCTAGTTATTATTTGAGTGGATGACAGGATTTTTAATTACATGAATTAGCATTAATGGACTTACTGATGTGAGTTTTAAGGAGGTCACTGAATGAAGAGAAGTGAAATGGCACACAGGACTAGTTCTAGTGGCAGATGGCTGCATGGAGGGTGCAAAGCAAAGAAGATTATGCAAGCCACTGCCTTGCACAGAGATATTAAGTCAAGTCTGCAATTGTACCCTTGCATGCAAAATGGCATCCTCTGTACAGCGTGACCTTATATGCAAGATCATGCTGTGTGGAGGACGCCTTTTGTTTGTGCATTCAGGGGCCAAACAACAGCATTGCATGGGCACAGCTAGTCCTGGGGCATGAATGCATGCCTTGCATATGACAACAGCACACCACTGATGCAAGGGTGGTTAGGATTCACTGGTGAAACAAAGGAGCTGAGATGAGTTACAAGGGAACAACAATGGAGAACAGGGTTGAAGAAGAGGCTGAGAAGCTTGAACTTGATGTGAAAGACAAGAAGAAGTCAGTGACTGGAATCCAAGGGGGGGAGTGACAAGGGCCTAGATTCACAAAGACACTTAGGGTTGTGACACTCAGGAACATACTGTGATTCACAAAGCCTGAGTTGGGCACCCGAAATGAATGTGGAGAGATAGACATCTTAAATTGTGATTCACAGATGCCATCATGCTTAGGGAGCCACCTAAGCTAGCTAGTGGGAAGGGTATTACCTAAGCCCCACTCCTGTCAGAGCTAGGTGCCTAAATCTGGGCTGTAGAGAGGCACCTATTTCTGCTAGCAATTCTCAGCTGTAAACCCTCTTTGTAGTGGGCACCTAAAGTATATTTTGCAAGAAGTCAGTGGGGAGGAGAAACTCCATCATCACTTGGGAGGTGGGAGCCCCTCCAGTTAAAGTCACCCTTCCACCTGATTAGAAGTGTGCTCTGCCATCTCTCAAGTAAGAGCCCTTGCCGTCAGGCTTTGGGATATTCTGATGTGGGATTTTCTCAGTCTCTCCTGCTGAAGCTGTTCCACTGTGGGTAAATCATTGTAATAAGTAAATGGAGCAGGGAGACTGGATCCTGGTCCCAGGTGAGTGCTCAAACCATCAGGCTACAGGGTCATTCTCATGCTTGTTCTCTCTCTGGCCTAAAGGGCCAGTATTTGTCCACAGTGGAACAGCTTT